CTCCGATATGCTTGAGTTATGACTTACTAAAACCTATATTCTGTCTTGGCTGTCCCAGACCCAGACCTGCAGCCCTCCTGAGCCACCATCCCCAATTTTTACATGATGGCTATGCTCTCTTTTCTGCACCTCTCAGGCCTGGTGTAGCCTTCCCCCCAGGCATGTTGGCTATCTCCTTCCTCCTCCCTCGGTCCCTTGCCTGGCCATCTAAAAGTTCCGCCTCTGTCTCCTGCCAACCATTGGCCACCGGCAACTTTATTTACTAATCAAAACCAACTGGGGGCAGGGACCTCAGCATCTTACTTGTGGATATGTGGATTGTCTTTTAATTTTGAGGACCCAATTAACATAATATAAGCATTAAACCAAATCCACAACACATACCCCTACACCCTTATCCTCTCTGTCTCTCCTTTGCTCTCTCTTCCTCCCCCTCCCCCCTTTCCCTCCCTTCCTCTCCAAAACAAACACAAGTGATTTGGAATCATGGTGCTGTGGGAAGCTTGCAATTTCTCTGTATTTGTACAACCGCCATGAGTCAGAGAGAGGGAGGCCCAGCCAGGACGTGCATTTCCATGTTTAATAAATTATGCTGGTCAGTTGAGACTGGCTCCATCCTTTGACAAAGAGAAAAACATGTTTCATCACCAAGAAGTCAGTGCTGTGCCTTCCAAGTGGCCTCTAGGAAGTCATTCCCCTCCCTGTTTAAAGCAATTTTTGGAACTCTTCCACAATTCTGTGAACTGCATAACTCTGCTTTCTAATTAGCATAATCAGGATGGGACCAGATGGCAGGTTGAGCATTGGACGAGTAATCATTCTGTGTAAGAGTAAGAGCCTACTTAGATTATCTGTACATAGTTATTAGTGACCTTAAGTAAAGACACCCAAAACAACCCCTACCAGGCACTTGGCACAGCTGTGCCTGTCTAGACATTGCCTGCTAAGAAATCCAGAGTAAAATGCATTTCAACAGCGAGCCATCAGCAATGTCAACAGCCCTTTTCTTAACTTACTTCAAAATAAGAGTACCAATGGGAAACCTAAGATTAAAAATGTACAAAGCCAGAAGCCAGACATGCTGGCTAGGACACACAGCCAACAGAAAATGGAGATGTAAGCTAGAGTCTCAATATCCCAAGACCAGTGCAGAATTTCGCAGGCTGGAGGACACACTGAGACCATCTCAGTGTCCATTTAGGAGTCAGACAAAGGTGGGCTGGCCTTTAGCTTTATGTCTCCTAAGGATGAACCTAGTATCATCCTCTTTGGTAAAATAGCAGTGACACATGTGATATCAGAGATTGTCCTAGAGACCAAATCAAATAATGAAGCAAATTGGGTACTTGGCAGAATGGATTCTTCTTCTCTGCCTCTACTTATCACCTATCTATCCATCATCTATTGATCATCTATCAACTATCTATCTATCTATCTATCTATCTATCTATCTATCTATCTATCTATCTCTATCATCTATCATAATTGATAGATGATAGATATTTATCTCTCCTCTACTATCTAGTTTTCTATTATCCTATGATGGGCTTCATGGTTTTATATCATACCTTTGTGTGTGTATGAATGTGGTATGTGTGTGTGTGCTGTATGTGAGGATGTCCTGTTCTATCACTCTCTGTCTTCTTTTTGAGTATTTTTAATACTTTACATTCATTTATTTATATTAAGTGTGTGAATCTGCCATGACTTGTGTGTTGAGGGGTCAGAGGATATGTTTTTGGGAGTCTGTTCTTTTCTTCCGCCATGCAGCATCTTACCAAACTCATGATGGGGTTCTTGCCAAGCACCTTTACTCAGTGACCTGTCTTGCCTATCCATGATTTATTCTTTTTAAGACAGGGTCTTCCACTGAATCTTGAGCTAGACTGGTGACCAGTAAGCCTCAGTGACTCCTGTCTCTGCTCTCCACAATGTGTGTGTGTGTGTGTGTGTGTGTGTGTGTGTGTTTCTCTCCTTGTATTAGGAATTAAACCTACATCATCTCATTTGTTAGGCAAATACTCTATTACTGAGTTATATCCCAAGCGCTCTAGTTTTTATTTTGTGATAAGGTCTCATTAGGTTGCCTAGGGTGGCTTTGAACTAGTTTTGTATTTGTAATCCAGTTGATCCCTGAACTGGTGATCCTCTTACTTCAGTCCCATGAATAGCTGAGATTCCTTCCTGAACATTAATTTGCATTTGTTTTTTGCCTCGGCGTTCTCCTCTATCCTTATTTACACACATGAAATAGTAACATGATTCACAGCACTGGAGCTATCTAGAGTCCAGCTCTGAGAGTTCAGCTCCCCACCCTTCCTAACTCTTGTCTCCACCCCATTCCTGCTGGGTCCTTTAGGTAACTAATCTCAAAAGTCCCTGATTTCTACTGCTGGTGTTTAGTTTTGTACAGATAAGCGGAGAGATCCCTCTGTTTTTTATTTGCCTCTCATAGACAAGGATGCAGAATTTCAGATACTAGAGATCTTGTTTTATTTGTTTGTTTGGTTGGTTGGTTGGTTTTTTGCACTGCCAAATAACATTTTAAAGCTGATGTGTTCCGGGCTCTCTTCACTTGCCTTCCCATTTCCCATCTGTCCCTGGTCTCCTGTGAATCAGAGGGCTCTTAGAATCCTAAATTCACAAAGGTGAAACTGTATGAAAAAGTATGACAGATGTTGATTTTAAGAAGAGGCCTTTGTCCCCTCTCAGACAGGCATTCTGCACTAGGAGTCCCAGAAGTAGCTCAAGGCCAGCACAGATGGCAGCTTCTCACCCAAGCCCAGGATATGGTTTAAGGAAGTTAGCCTCAGACGGATGTCCTGTCCCATTAACAGTGCCAGACACCCAGAGACAAAACTGCTGAGACCAAACAGCCAACACTGTGGGCTTCTGCTTCCCCAGGTTTTCAGCTTTAAGTCAAAGGAGCAGGTCCCCAGAGAGAAGGAGAGGGAGCACTTCACGGTTCCTGACAGGTAACAGGATGCACCTGCATAGAGCACCAGGCTACATGCTGCATAGCACAGCTGTTTCATTTCAGCTTGAATGAGCTGAATTCATGCAGCAAGGAGGGGTGGGGAAAACAGAAACTAACAGTCCCAAGCCTGTCTGCATACTTCCCCAGGGTTGGAAAAGACCTGAATAGAATGTATTTCAGTTCACTTAGGAGTGAGCAGGTGGCTCCTGAATTCTGGCATAGACAAACTTATTGTCAGCTGGAAGGGACAAAAGAGACCATTCACACAGGTCTTGGCTTACTCCCACCCTTCCATCCATACCTTTGTCTAGACTCAGAAGACCTAACTAGTTGGCAAAGTATGTTTGATTTATCTCTGCAAGATTCCAGAAGAATTATCTTCCCAGAGATCTGGCTATGGACAGAGAGCTGTAAGGAACCTGCTATTCTGGCATGTGTGTGTGTGCACTTGTACATGCACATATTATTAGGGATTGAACCTAGGGGTCTCATGTGTGTTAAGTGACCCTCTACCACTGAGATATATCTCTATCCTTTTCATTTTCCACTTTGACACAGGTTCTTACTAGATTGTCCATGCCAGCCTTGAATTGACTCTATAGCTCAGATGTGCCAAAATTTGTGATCTTCTTGCCTCGGCCTCCTAAGTAACTTATAGCTATGTATAGGCTTATACCATAAGGCCTTCCTGTTCTGACCATCTTAAGTTAGCATAGGCTTGGAAGTAAGGAGCACTCTGCATCCCAGGCAGTCTGTAGTACTCTGTATGGAAGTGCTCAGGAGAACAGGACCCTCCTTACTGTGAGCTCCAGGTCCATCAGGAAAAACAGAGTCCTTAAAGGATACAGTCAGGAACTATGGCTCCAATAGGAATCCCAGGGGCATTCTTCAGCTCCACCAGGGGTCAGAACTCTACTCTTAAGTAAGTGAATGTTCTCAGGGATCTCCATGCTGGCCATACCAGTGAGGCCTTTGTCCTGTGTCCACAATGATGGCAAGAGCAGCCTTTACCTTGTTTGGCTGTGGGATGTGGTGCAGAGGACATGGGTTCAGTCAGAGTCTCTAACTTGCTTCCATGACTCATCTGAACAAAGAGGGATACACTAATAGAATCATCTATTCCCAAGATCGTAGCATACTCTGAGAAGAGTAACTGATCATATACATTGCAGGGATACACCCTGTCCCCATAGTGCAGGTGGGGAATAGAGAGACTGGGCCATACTTCTATAAGGATCCATGATTCACAGAAGAATGATACCCTGGACTCAAATAGTTTGTAAACGCAAAGAGGGTTTTATTCTGCAGAAGTCCAGCATGCTGGGGTCTACCATCTACAAAGATGGAGAGACCCTGAAGTGAGCTCTCAGGACAGATTTAAAGCACACTAGGGGAATTATGGGGAGGGGTAGGTGACTTCTATCTTTATCTGTTGACTCTATCTTTAGGGGCATTCCAGAAACATTGCTGGGGCCTGGGGAGCTGGAAACTGTTGACTGTTGCTGAGGAAGACTGGAAACTGCTGCTAACCTATTGTCCTTGCCTTAGGCCAGGTGGTGGAGCAGCTTCTAAAGTCTGGACTTGCTTGGACTTGTCCAGTTCTTGGAAACAGATTTAGCCCTAGCCTCCTGAACTGCCAATTTGAAACCTGTCTGGGAGTCAGCCTAGGCTGTCTCAGTCTACCTCATACTGGCTCTATTTCAGAAATTCATCCAGCACTTACTTTGTTATCTAGCGACAAGACAAGATGAAACAAAATAAACAACAACAAACAAACAAATGACAACAACAAACAAATAACAACAACACACAAATAACAACAAAAACCAAGTAGGACCTGGTTGCTGTTCACAAGAATTCTCTGGTAGGAAGACAGAAATGCAACACTCAGGGAGACTGTAGTAAGGGTGGCCTGGAGATTGACAGAGAAATTCCCATGGAGAATGCCAGATGAAAACAACCCTGAAGGGAGGGAGACAGAGTCCCAGTGAAGCCGAGAAAGAAGCGGAGTTAACATCACAGTTATGTGCTCTCATGGGTGAATTTTGCACTGCAATGTGAGTCAGTTCTCAGAAGCAGCCCTCGGTTCCACAGCAGACTGTTGTTTGAAGGTATGTAAGGTAGTGGGAGACCCTGCCCTGAGTTAATCTGGCTCAGGATCAGTGGTCAAAGGAGTATTAGCTCTACAGCTCTCTCTTGGGCCACTGAGAAATGTCTATCTTAGATGTGACAAAGAAGGGAGGGATTCGTGGCTAACATGCTCCCTGGCTTTTTATGATACCATGTTACACTTAGGTGATGCTTGATGTGTCCCTGATGATGAAAGTGAAGAATTAGATCGTCAGCAAGTACCACAATGGCAGGATTTGAGCACTTTGCATATGGATAAAAACTGCCCAAGGGATAACAGCACCTTCTAGGGGTCTGACTCTGTGGGGTATGTATTCCACAGATGTATCCATGGAAGGCATTCTGAAGCTCTTTGGCGAATACTTCTTTAAGTTCTGTAAGATGTCCGGCTATGACAGGATGCTGCGGACACTTGGAGGAAATCTCACAGAGTTTATTGAGAACCTAGATGCCCTCCACAGTTACCTGGCACTGTCTTATCAGGTAAGGCTATATATCTGGGCTTTGTCTTGATGGTCCCAGAGGTTAAAAAAAGAAAGCTCTCCCCATCGTCCCCTTCAGATAAGCTGAACGATCCGTGGCTGCTGGCATCAGTGGACTCAGGAGCTCTCGGGAAAAGAGGAGAATAAATACCCAGTGGTGTCCTTTATAAATGGGCAGACAAAAAGTCAGAGTTGTAGCCTTGGAGTGGTGGGGGAGGGGAGCACTTCTGAAGGGTGCATGCAGACTTGGAATAAATCTGAGAAGCCAAACACAATGAGAACAAGGGCTGAAAAGCAGGTTGGGGTGGATTTTCACATCTCTCTTTAAGTCTCCTGGCCTGGGTAGAGCTGATAATAGCTTATGCAACCAGATTAGGGTTGGGAAAGTACCAAAGGGGAAAAACTTGGCAGGGCCAAGAGCCAGAACTGGGAGCCATCCAACACTGATTAACCCATGGGGTGATGGACTGAGGTGTTAGGAAACTAAATTCCCAACTGGGATGTGTCCTTCTTGAGTTCATGCCTTGCTGGCCTTGGTAGAACTTACTGGAAATTCAAATGCCGAGACTTTGTTTTTAGACATCAAAATGCTTTATTGTAAAACAAATTTTTAAGTCAGTTATTGGATGCAGTATTCATCCATAGCATAAATAATAGTTTATTAACTTAGGTTAAACAGTTCACTCTTATGGCCCTTTATAACTGACCAAGATCTTTCTTAATTATTTCTGTATTTTGTGTTCATCATCACCCTGCATGGGTGTGGATAAGATGAGACTGTGCTTGTTAAAGGGCCTCCTTAATTATTACGGTAATAAAACTGTTAACCTGCTGTCTTAAAAAGGTTCCCTGAAGCATGGACTGGTTCAGTCTTGGAGGAAGCTGAATCACTGCACACACTAACATACTTTTAGAAATACAAAATAAGTATTTGAAAGTCAAGAAGAAACCCATTTGCACTAGCAGCCCAGCACCAGGAAGGACTGTAGCCACTTGCACCTTGTCCCTAGCTTAGACCAAAGCCCAGTGTCCTGGGTGCTGAGTTGCTTCTGAACAAGCAATAGGGGACTCCCTGTTGATTCCCTCAGAGAACCCTCCAGAGACTTTTTCCTTTAAAAATTCCCCACCTGTTATAAGAGAGCTCTGTTGAATTGTCTACAGTTATTTCTGGACAAATAATATTTCTTCTGATATGTTTTTGAGGTGTCTAGTTTTCAAGGGGAACCAACCTTGAGGACAAAAGTGAGCTGATTCTTTCAGGTAGTGAGGTCTCTGAGCCACCAATCTTCTAGAGTGAAAAGGCTGCCATGGCTTGGTCACAGGCCAAGTATGGTCACAGCTAACCCTTGGGGGTAGATAGAAGCAGCATGGCATGGAGCTAAAGATCATGGAGGCTCGGCAATGGTTCTCTCGTTAACCTCATTTTAACTTCCCTGGATGAGCCCAGTGGCCAAATGCCAAATGTTCAGGGGGTGAGGTGCGGGGTAAGCTTACTCAACAGGCGCTGAAACAGTCACGTGACTGCAGAAATGATGGTAACATGGCTCTATGTGTGGTGATGAAGACTTACTATTGTAGTTCTGTGTGTGGTAATAAATAAATACCATTGTAGTTCTATCTGTATAGTAAACACATTATTGTAGTTCTGAGTGTGTTAATGGATATATACCATTGCTTCACAGCACGTTAAAAAAAATGTAGTTCATAACACAGCTATACCATTCTTGGGCATCTACCCAAGGGTTCTAGGTCAGCTAGAGAGACACTCCAAGTCTATTGCTGGACTATTTAAATAGCCAGGAAATGAAACCAGCCTGGATGCCCATCAATGGACAAAGAAAATATGGTACATGTACACAATTCAGTTTTATGCAGCTACATAGAAAAATAAAGTGATGGTTTTTGGAAAATGAGTGTACCTGAAAATAATTATGTCAACTGAAATAAACTAGACTCAGAAGGACAAATATTATGTGTATTGTGGTATGCTTCTTTAATCCCAGCATTCAAAAGACAGAGGTGAGCAAATTTCTGTGAGTTTGAGGTCAGCTTGGTCTATACAGTGAGGTATAGACCAGCATGGCTGCACAGTGAGATCCTGTCTCAAAAAGAAACTCTACAAGGAGGAGCAGATGTCTCAATGACTAAGGAAGCTTACTGCTCTATTATAGGACCAAGGCTCAGACTGCACCTCCCTGGCAATTCACAACCATTTGTAACTCCAGTTCCAGAGGATTCAATATTCTCTCTGACCTCCACAGGCACCAGGAACACATGTGGTACACAGACACACACACACACACACACACACACACACACACACACACACACACACA